CCCACTGCCAGAGGGCAGGGAGAGATGGGAGATTGGGAAGGAATTGCTGGCTGGGAGGGTGGGCAGGCCCTGGCACAGGTTGGGCAGAGAAGCTGTGGCTGCCCCTGGATCCCTGGAAGTGTCCCAGGCCAGGTTGGACGGGGCTTGGAGCACCCTGGGCTGGTGGAAGGTGTCCCTGCCCATGGCAGGATGATGGATGAGCATTAAGGTGCCTCCCAACCCAAAGCAGTCTGGGATTCTGGGATTGTGTACAGGGCAGGAACAGGCAGGGCCAGCTCCCAGGAGCCAAGCACAGCCCTGCTCCTGCAGTGCCATGGCACACCTCAGCCCCTGGTGGAGCTCAGGCTGTTCCAGCCTGCCCCAAAGCAGGCAGTGGGAGGATTTGTCATCTTTAAGTACCAAAGTGAAGTCATTTTCTCACTGAACTCCGTGGCCCTGCACATCCCCCTCCCTCACCTTTGCCAAAAGGGTTGTTGTTCAAGGTGACATTTAAAGCGTCACTCTGATGTCTCTGCTCTCTGAGGTGGCACACACAAGTCACATTTCTGGGAGTTATTTAACAAATCTCCCTGTGAGCTCCTTCCCCTACGGACAAATCACAGTTTTTAGTGTTTGTTTCAAATCAAACTTGGTATTTGACTTTTTCCAAGAGGTTTCTATCCCAAAGATGTCACTCACCCCTGGGGTTATTCTTCCAAATAAGGGCACTTCCAGTTTGCTCCCAAGCCTGGAACAGGATGTTAGAAAGGATATAACACTGTTGCCCCTCTGGGACTTGTGGGGATTGAGAAAACCAGTTAATGTGTGGAAAACAATATCTGTGGTTTAACAGTAGCAGGATTTCTAAGCGAGCAGGATGGTCCAGCCAGTGCAAACTAATTCTCATTTCCTCTTTCTTCCACAGTTCCTGAGCAAATCTCCCACTGCTCCACAGCCCTTCTTTCCGCTTCCACAAGAAGAGCATCTTCTTTATGACAAGCTGACTGTCATTCCAGGAGATTCCCAGAATGCCAGGGATGAGGCTGAGGATGAGTCCGAGACACCGGAGCACCCTCAGGGCTCTGAGCAAGGAGATTCCGACTCAGGAGTGGGAACAGCTTCAGGGAAGACCTAAATGCTGCCTTGGAGAAGGAAACAAAGGGACTGCTGGGTTTATCTCCTCATTGCTCCTTTCTTCTGACAGTGAAAACCCACAGACAAAGATGACCATGAGCACAGACAGAATAATTTTATTTGTTTTTTCAAGTACAAGGAACTTGGCTGTAAATGAGGAACTAAACAATACACAATTTTTGCCACTGCTGGTTGTAGCTCCCTAAGGAGTTGTGGCAATACCTGGCACTGATTATGACATTAAAAAGCAATTTTCATATATATATATATATAAAATACTAGTTAACTCTGATGAACTATTTATTGCAAAAACTAAGAAAAAACATTTGTAAAAGAAAAGCATATTTTGTAAAGAAAGACCTGATTTATTTTTTCTAATGAAAAACTGTATGAGTTTTTAAGGATGTCCCAGGAGGCATCATCCTTCTATTGAATTGTGTTCTACCTGCTGCAAAATTGCGAAGTTTTTAGGATGGGATGAACTGAAGTCTGTGGAAAACTTGGCAGCTAAAGGGGGAGTTAAATTAGGTTTGTTTTATTTATATATTGATGTGTTTTCTTAATTAAAAAAAATGTTGATCTGGGGAGCTGGGACTTCCTGGACACAAACCAGCCTCACCTGCCCAGGGTTATAGCCAAGGTTATATAAATGTTTACATAAAGGTGATACCCAGCACTGGGGCAGAGAGTGCCATTAACTGGGGTTTGTGTGTTATTGCCTCAAAATGAGCGTGAA